ACACATCAAGATGTTTGCTGTTGTTGTTCATTTACGTCGCACTAGAGCTGCACAATGGGCTATTGGCGACGTTCTGGGAAACATCCCTGAGGATGATCCGAAGACATGCCATCACAATTTTGATCCTCTGCAGAGGGGATGGCAACCCCGCTTCGGTAGCCCGACGACCTGCACGCGAAGTCGAGCACTCAAGATGTTGCACATCATTGCAGATTGCACTGAGATTACATATGAAGATTATATCAGTCTATTTTAAATTATACATCATGATTCATTTTCATGTAATTTTAAAAATCTCACATCGGGATTCGTATTTCTTGTAGTTTCTGCTAATTTTTCTACTGCATATCATTTATTTTAATTTAATATTGTTTGTTTCAATGTCTTATTATTAGTACCCATTATGTAAAAATTAGTTGCCCAAAAATTTTTAAAATTGTTCGCGATAATCTTTTTTTTTTTAAAACTTATACTTTTGATAAAAATATTCTACACTAATAATCATTTTTCATATTTGAAATTATTGTGAAGCGATACTAATAAATTAAATATTAAACTAAAATTTTAGAGTAAAGACGGATGCGTTTTACAATGCATTTGTGCATCACATAACTCAACTACGAACTGAAAAATCGTACTTGATTTGTTTCCGGGGGTGATATTTTTAACTACATTATTTTTTTAACCAGAAAATTAAATTTTATCAGCACCATTTATTCATCCGCAACGTTTTTATTTTATTAATTTATTTTTCATTTATTTATTTTATCTTATTTTTCCTTTATTCATTTATTAATTTATTTTTCATTTATTTTAATTTATTTTTCATTTATTCATTTTATTAATTTTTCATTTATTCATTTTATTAATTTATTTTTCATTTATTCATTTTATTAATTTATTTTTTTTATTTATTCATTTTATGAATTTATTTTTCATTTATTTATTTTATTAATGTATTTTTCATTTAGTCATTTTATTAATTTATTTTTGGTGCAGATCTCATTCTCCATACAATCGATTTTTTCGAGGTAAATTTTCTTGTCTTTATTAAATAAATTGCTCTAGTAAAAATTATTTTGCTCTGAGGATGTGAAGAAAAAAAAAATTGGAATTTCTTAAGAGCAGAAAGATTTTTGCCTTTTCAGAGAATTATATAACACATGATTTAGCGTAGCAAAACGCCCAAAATACCATAAAAAGTGACCTTCATGGTTGTTGAGTAACTATTACTAGCAACTTCAGTCGAAGTAGAGATAATAAAGAATAAAATAAGTTTTTACAGCATAGTGAAAATTAGTCATGTGTGACGTAATCGAAGTTTATTTGGGGAGGAAATGAATGTACAATTTACAAAGCGTTTCTACAAATTATTAGCCATTGTTTATTATTGGAAAGCATTATTTAATGTTGTTTTTACAATTGGTAAAATAGTTAATAAATAAATTAACTTAGCTTTTTTCAGAGGAGTAATAATTTTTTTAAATGCGTCACAGTGTCATTCTTCTTTAAGTTCTAAGTTGTTTTCAATTTTTAAGAAAGCTAATTTTAATCTTGCAGTTCTTGAAGATCAGTTTTTAAATTCTAAGCTAATTATTTAAATTATTAACCAATCGCAGTGTTTGTTTTTTTAACTGAACTAAAGTTGATGCACATACACATGCCGACTTGCGTGCTCATTACAAAGGCGGCTCATAAGTCCTTGTGCAGTTAAAGAACAAATAGCACATATTAGAGAGGGACATCATAAAGAAACAAAGAGAGTTACAGCGGGATTCGAACCTGAGTGCTACTGAGTGTTCGGCCAAAGATTGGATCGGTGAGACTGCTTGACGAGAAAGGACCGCCTGAAAAATTCTAAGTTCTTTTCAACTTTTTAGAAATATAATTTAAATCTCAAAGTTTCGTTTTTTACTTCAAAGCAAATTATAAACAACTTCAGTTTTTTGTTTTGATTATGTGAAATTGATGATCTACTTTGACATCTGCTTTCTACTAATTTACTTAGACAATCTAATTTCAGTAGTTTATAAGGTTTGAGCAAAATTAAAAATATGCGTATTAGATGCTGGCAGATTTGATTAAAATTCAATAAAGAATTCAAGACACCTTTTTTATTGTTTTATAAATTTCAAGTTCAACCATATTTGAAACACGATTTCCTTAACACTGATAGAATCTTAAATGATTTTGAAGGTTTTAACCTTCATTCTTGATAAATATAAAGATAATTTTCATAGGTTATTCTATCGAATGAATTCTTAAAATTGAGCCTAACGGAATAAAATGTCTTTGTCTTTTGAGAACAAGAATTGAGTTAAGAAAATAAGCGTCCTTGCTTTTTAATAACAAATATTTTCGACGAATTTATAACTACTACTAAAAACAAAAGATCTTCGATAGATATATTATTTTCGTAAAATTTAAATTTTATACAAATACAACGCAACTCTTCCTATATTATTAAAATTATGATTTTGCTTAAATTATAACTAGTGGGCACCCCCCTGTTCGCTTGCGCTTCCCTACCCCTGAAAATTGTTATGCAATCTTATATGGTTTGCTTTGCAAACAGTGTTCACTTTATTTCCTAAGTTAAACCCATTTGAAATGTGTTCTAGTGTCAAATATTAAGAATTTAAATCAATTGTTAAAACCTTAAAGAGGAATTACCCTTTAAAAATTTAAAATTTTTAGTCAATGAGTTATGGAAACAAAAGTTTTTAAATTTAAATAAATGATATGCAATAAAAAAATTGCTGAAACAATATAATAATTACGCTTTAGAAAAAGAACTTGTAGGACGTCACGTCTCTTACGCATTCTTTAAATTTTACATCTTTCATCATTGTCATCAACGCTTTCTTCTGCTTTTACGCTTTCATGCTTATGACAGCTCTCACACTTGATATTTCAATTTTTGATGCCAACGCAAAAAGGAAATGAGGGCTTTCTTTGTCGTCCTGACAAAGACGACGTAAATTACTTAGATTAGTTTAATAGTTTTTTATTAGTTCCTGTAAGCTAAAATAAAACACTCGCAGTCCGTTAAAATCCGGTCTGACCCACTGTGTTTTGAATGCTTAAAGGACTGAATGTAAATTTATTTTAATTGGCAGTAGACTAAGAATAGATTAAAAAGAATTCGTTAATAAAATTAGTCTAACATATACACCAATGAGAGTACTTAATCAATTTGATCACCCATTAAAATGATGTTTCGTAATCATATCCTTAATAAATATATTTTTAGACTCCTTATCAAAAATGAAATAAAAAGACATGTTCACTAGAGTCGCATATAAGTATTTAAGAGAGGAAAAAATAAAAAATTTTATCAAAATTTTTCGAATCACTAGTGAAATGTATTTTCAGAAAACGTTTTCCTCTTCATCCATTTATTTAAAAAAATTAATAATCAGCTCCAAAAATAGTACATTAGTTTTTAAGAGATAAACATTTTGTTAGTTCAAAAATTATTGTGAATGAAACAATAAATCACGTGTGAGAATTTAAATATTTTTTCCTCATTTGAAACAGTACTTAATTGAAAGATAATTTATTTACAAATTTATAACAGTGTAAGACAATATTTCTGCTCTCTTTTTCAAAAACGTATGTATTATTTATAAACATATTCACTAATTTTATTTCATTTTATAACCGGCGTTCAGCACCCGACCCAATTCTGTGTTAACCACTATCAATGTTCAACTCCGTAGCCTTGTGATTTTGAGCACAACCCAGAAGACAACAAAATTCCTTGATCAAACATTGAGACACACTTTTATGAACTTTCAAACCATGTTGAGTGTTTGATTTTAAATTCTGCTAATCAAAAATATATTCTATTAGTTTAAAATCCCAACGTAAATTAAAAGAAGTACATCATAGCTATTTAATTGGGTATTTGCAGCTCGAGAAGGAGTGAAGGGATTTTACCTCATCATGCGATTTAAATAAGATTTAACGTAAACGTAACTTATAGATAAACGTTATTCGGATGCCTTATAGTGACGTCTCGCATGTGAGTCGAATCTTATTGTCTTCTCAATCGACAAATGCCACTGCTTATCTACGATGACGTCAGGTGATTTGCAGGTATCCAACTACAACAAAATTTTAAATGTTGATGCAGTAAAAATAAAATATAAATGTTAGTAGTCTATTTAGAGTATATTTGTTTTTATTTTACAACAGGCGTTAAACAGCCGAACCAAATCTGAGTTTCAATATTCATCTCCGTAGCCTTCTAATTTTGAACCCAATCCAGAAGACAAGGGAACTCCAGGATCAAGTATTGGGAGAAAACTTTCCTTCGTAGGGGACTTTTTGATGGAACTAAGCAGCATTTGCGCTGCATAGAGAGGAAAACAACGAAAACCTACCACGGTTAGTCTGGCGGCTAACTCTTGATCCTTCTACCACTGAGGGATATTTCAAGTCAGCTCTGAGGTTCAGGGCTCACACTAATCAGTAAAAATTACTTGCTTAAATTTGCAAGGGTTTCATACTATTCAAGAGCTGGGTATGTCCTCAATTCTTCCCCCTTTAGCCATACGCCTACATTAGTGCTCTATTTTTATACAGGAATAATTTTTTATGACCCCCACTGCGCTGCTTAGTAGCCCGAATGTAGTGACATCTTTCTTATTTTTCCTCCACAAAGCAATTTATGTTCGTATACATCGGACTACTAAATTAATCCGTGATGAGGCCTTCTCCTCTCTAGGAGCTGTTGCTCGATTGCTGTCGAAAAATAGCCAAACAACGCAGAATGATACCGAAGTAAAAAAAATGACATTAGAATTTATCTCATAAATTTAGAAGTTGACTTTAAAGGTATCTCATAAACTTAGACAATATTTAAACTAAAGATGAGTAACTTTTTACTCATTAATGTTGATTATCAAATAATTTAATTCTTTCTTTTGTTTGGGAAACTAATTTAATGCATAAACCTGTTAAAATTTGCTTTTATTCATTAATTTCTATTTCAGGCTCCCAATACAACTCGACGAAGATTGAAGAAGTGTCTCAACTTATCGAAGAAAAAAGTAAGTAGTTATTGAAACTATTATTCCAATATTTTTAATATTAACCTTTCGCACTCCGAGTACTTCAATACACTGTTTGAACTGATGTAAATAACTAAATCATTTAAACTACAATAGTACAATATCTTAATATAATTTCTAAAATTCATAAAATAATGTGGTTATTAGGATATAAAAATTTTAAGCTTCTGAGTGGTTATTTTTGATGTCTACTCAGTGGTTGACATCGGAGTGAAAAAGATTAATAAATAAGCAAATGAAAGTTTTTCATGTTCCAAGACAGCTATCTAAAGTTTTAATTGTAATTGATTATATTCAAGCGTAATGGACAACTAGTCAAATTTTCATAATGCGACTTAGCTAAGTTAACTGTTAACCAATCACGAAGCATTTTAAAAATTGATTTAATTTTTTTTTAAAGAAAAAACTTGAAAGGGTGTATAATCATATTAATGTTATGTAAATATTTAATAATTCATAATGAAAAAAAAATATTAAAAATTAATTTCCTAAAACTTCATTGATAAATTCGTTCGGAAATCATATTTTATTATTCAATAAATATTCCAATTAAGATAGATATTAAAATTAAATTTTCTGTTAAAAGTTTTTATTTTCTTATAAAATTTAAATGCTAGGGGAGAGTGGGGTCAATTGTAACATTTTTTACTTAACTATTTTTAACTAACAAAAAATCCAATATATTATTAGTATTAATTGACAGACGAGTAAAGTAGACTATCCTCTACTAGAAAAAAAAATAAATACCTTATTTTGAATGTTATTATATGAGTTATTAACAATTTTTGACAGTCGCGCACTTGTTACAATTGTCCCCACTTACAGGGTCAATTGTAACAGTTCATAAATTCAACTAAAACATAGTTAATTATGCATATTATCATAGTAGTGATAGATTTTTTATTGATCAAAATAGTAGTGATATTCTAGGAGTAAAAATAATAATGAGCAGAAACCTAAAGGATCAAACTTTTAACTTTAAGGGGTTAAAAATTTTAATTTATGCTGTGAAAGGTGACAAATAAAATAATGCACATGCAACATAATATAAATGATATAGGAAACTATTGGCGGTGTTTAAAGAGTTAAGTAATGGCTTGTAAACATGAGATTATTTATTTTCAGCTGTTACAATCGTCCCTTTGCTTATTGTTACAATCGTCCCCAAGACGCCATTTCAGCTTCATTTGTTAAAAACAATGCTAGTTAATTA